AATTAGGTGTTTCATGAGTGTAGGGCAGTGGATAAGGGGGCTTAGAAGGTTATATAGAGCTCTGGGTCCTATGTGTAAGGAATTATGTATGTCTCTTAAGACGGTGTGGAGTTGTGTTTTAGGAATAACTAATTTATTATTGATGTAAATTCAATTGTCTGTGGCTAGTCTGGCTGTTGAGTCTTATAATACTTTGGTTTTTTCTTCCTGGGTGTAATTAGGGGTATATTGGGGAGAAAGAAAACAAACAGAAGGAAGTGTAGGGGTGGAGAATCCGGCAGCCGATTTGGCAGTGGTGTCAGCAGAATTGTTGCCAGCTGCCACCGGGTTAGATGGAGTCTGATGACCTTTACAGTGTATGATGGCTGCTTTGGAAGGTGCTGATAAAGCGTCTAGCAGTTTAAGTATTTGCTTTTTGTTGATTATGGGGGTACCACAGGTGGTTAGGAACCCTCTTTCTTTCCAGATGACAGAATGGGTGTGTGCAATTAAGAAGACATACTTAGAATCTGTGTATATGTTTACTATTTTTCCTCTAGATAGGAGGAGAGCCCTAGTTAGTGCGATAAGCTCTGCCTGCTGTGATGTTGTTCCTTGTGGTAAAGGCTTAGCTTCTAGGACAGTGGATGATGTAACTACCGCGTATCCTGCCTGCCTGTTTCCTTGAGAATTTATAAAGGAACTGCCATCCACAAATAGGGTTAACTGTGGGCTCTCCAAGGGTTGGTCATGTAAATGCAAGTGACTAGGTGGTTGGGCCTCTAAAAGTTCTGGACAGGAGTGTTCAGTATGGGGTTGTTTGAGAGGGTTGAGGAGTAAGGTTGCTGGGTTTAGAGAGGAGCAGACTCCTAGGACAATGGTAGAGTCTTCTATGAAAAAGAGGTGGAAAAGTTGGAGCCTGGACGGGGTTAGGTGGCTGATACTTTTGTGGGCAATAAGGTCTTGAAGGCGGTGGGTAGAGAAGACTGTCAGGCTGCAGCCTCTGATGAGTTTCTTCGCTTCCTGGGTTAGACAGGCTGCTGTTGCTAGGGCCCGAAGTCAGGGCTGCCACCCTTGTACAGTGGGATCTAATTGTTTGGATAGATATGCCACAGGATGGTATGTGGTGCCTATAGGTTGGCTAAAAGGCCAATAGCAACTTTTTGTCTTTCGTCTGTGAAAAGCTGGATGGGGCGTTGGAAGTCTGGGAGTGAGAGAGTAGGATGTGAGAGAAGGCAGTTTTTTAGGTGAGTGAAATGTTTATAGATTAACTTTGGGTTAGACAAAGGTCCTTGGGGAGTCTCCTTGACAGCTGCATATAGAGGTTTAGCCAAGATTCCGAAATTAGGAATCCAGTGTCTGAAAAACCCTACTAGGCCTAGGAAGGATTGGATTTCTTTAGCGTCTTGGGGAGGAGAAAGATTTTGTATTAGAGTTAAACGGTCTGTGGTGAGCGAGCGCGTTGTGGGAGTGATTTCAATGCCTAAATATATGACACATTGTTGTGAGAGTTGAGCTTTGTATTTGGATACTCGGTAACCTTTGGATCCTAGATGATTAAGGAGGATTGCAGTGTCCAAAAGAGAGTCCTGTCTCGTGGGACTACAGAGTAAAAGGTCATCTACATATTGGAGAATTTTACTATTTGTAAGAGGACAGGAGGCCAAGTCTTTTGCAAGGGCTTGCCCAAAGAAATGGGGGCTATCTCAGAACCCTTGGGGAAGCACTGTCCATGTCAATTGGGTGGAGGCATGGTTGTCTGGGTCTTCCCATGTAAAGGCAAAGAGAAACTGACAATCTGGGTGTAAGGGAATAGAGAAAAATGCATCTTTTAGATCTAGCACAGTAAAGTGTGTTGTGTTAGATGGGATAAGAGAGAGAAGGGTATAGGGATTAGGAACTACTGGACGGGTGGGGCAAACAGCCTCATTGATAAGACGAAGATCTTGCTCTAACCGAAAAGTCCCATCTGCCTTCTTTACAGGTAGGATTGGGGTGTTACAGGGGGAATGAGTGGGGATGAGGATGTGTTGGCTGAGTAACCTAGTAATGATTGGTTTTAGTCCTCATAAGTGTTGTGGAGAGAGAGAGAACTGTGGGCGGGTTGGAAACCCGGGTTTTTAAGTTTTATGAGTATTGGTGAATGATGGTCCGCCACGACAGGAGTGGAGGTGTCCCACACTTCGGGGTCTATGGGAATGGGGAAATTAGGGAAAGGGTTAGTAGGGTTGTTGGAGTCCTTTGAGTTAGTTAATACTAGAAGTAGATGGCAGGTGGGGTGGGGGGACCTAGTAGGAAGGGAGATACAGGCTTTCAGTTGGCTTAGGATATCTCAGCCTAGTAGAGGAGTGGGGCATGAGGGGATGATGAGGAACGAGTGTACAAAATAGTTATTGGCCAAGCAGCAATTAAGAGGTGGTTTTCTAAGAGGACTAGACGGAGTGCCTCCAACTCCTATAACTGAAATGTGAGACGGGTGACTAGGTCCACTAAATGATGGCAAAACAGAGTAGGTAGCCTCCATATCCACAAGAAAAGAAACTGGCTTACCCGCTACCTGAAGAGTTACCCGAGGCTCGGCGAGGGTGATGGGGGTCCCCGAGTCCAGGCGCCTTCAGTCGTCGTCTAGGTGTAAGAGCTGGAAGGAGCTCCCAGGGTCCTGAGAAGGGACATCACGTTGAGACGCTATGCCCGTTTTCAGGGTGGGGCAATCTGACTTCCAATGCCCTTCTTCTTGGCAAGCCGGGCAGGGAGTGGATGGCGGGTGAGGATTGGGACAATGACTTGCCCAATGTCCGCGTTTGCCACACTTAAAACACGGTTGTGTTGGACCTGAAGGTTGGGCCTGTGGGCATTTGTCAGCCCAATGACCTGGGGTGCTGCACTTATAACAGGCCCCCTTTGTTGCCTTAGTAGGCTTACCTCCTGGCCTGGGATTGAGATTAGGTTGCAGGGCTGCCACTAGTGCTTGGGCATTGAGGGCTGCCTTCTGTTTGGCCCTATTTTGTCTCTGGGCCTCAGCTGTCTCTTCTCGCGAATTAAAAATTTTAAAAGCTAGCTTGACTAAATCTTGGATGGGGGTCTGAGGACTATCTTCGGCTTTTTGGAGTATTTTCCTAATATCTGGGACCGATTGTGAAATAAAATAAGATGCCAAGATAATGGCCCCGGCTGGGGAGGCTGGGTCTAATCGGGTATACTGGGTTAAAGCCTCTGTTAGCCTATTTAAGACTGTGGCTGGATTTTCATCTGGACCTTGAATAATTTCTTTTAATTTATTAAAATTAACTATTTTGTTTGAGGCCGCCTGCATACCTGCCAGGAGGCATTGGGTCATGATGTCTCGCCTTCGGCGACCCGGCTGGCCTACTTGGTAGTCCCATTCTGGGTCAATAGATGGGACTGCTTGTTCCCCTACTGGAACAGCAGCATCCGTTAAGTGTAACTGATCTGCATGCTGCCTGGCTGCCACTAGGATGCGCTCTCGCTCCTCAGGGTTTAGAGTAGAGGTAAGAATGACATGGAGGTCGTGCCAGGTTAGATCATAGGCCTGGCACAGGTACCTGAATTCTTTGGTATAAACCGTAGGGTTGGCAGAGAAGTCTCCTAAGCGTTTTTCAATCTCGGAAAGATCTGCTAGTGAGAAAGGGACATGGACCCTGACTATACCTTCTGCACCGGCCACCTCGCGTAGTGGGGCCAGAACTGTAGGGAGTTGAGGGGTAGGAGTGGGGGTAGGAGCAGGGCTTGAACAATCTCTGGAACGGGTGTGAGAGGATATGGGTGAATCAAGGTGGCAAGAGGGAGGTGCCAAGGGGGCGGGGGAAGGGGCGGCAGGTGGAGCCAAGGTAGAGGCGGAATTGGAAGGGGACGGAGTGTAGGGTGGAAGGGAAGGGGAGGCAGCTGCTGGAGGTCTGAAATGGGAGTTTCCGAGATCCTCGAGCAGGTGGGACAGGAAGGATGACTCCTCTTTGTCCGACCCCACGGGGACCCCAGCCCTGGCCAACATGACTTGGGCCAAGGAGCATTGGCTACATAAATCTGGTCGAGAGCGTAAATCCCAAAATCCTTGTATATAATTTATTTCACACCACTTGCCTAGGCGCTGGCAAAAATTGCTGAGGTCGATTAAAATATTACGATCTAGGGTGCCTTCAGGCGGCCATTGGGACTGATTGTCTAGTTTATATTGCGGCCACGCCACAGTGGAGAGGAAAATTAGTCGTTTTCGCTTTAGATCCTGCTCTAATTGAAGGGTTTTTAGGTTGCCTAATAAACACCCTAAAGGGGTGTCTCGCGGAATTTTGGACTGGGGATTACCCATTGCCTTTCTTTGGCTAATGGAAACCGGGCTCTGGCTGACTCCAAAGCGTCCTTTGGAATCACTAGAGACAGGCGGCTGGTGGAGCCGTAAGTGGATGGAGAGACTTCTGAGCAGACGTCTCTGTCTCAGAAGACTTCCTATAGGTCACCTGGTGACCTTAAGGGTGGCCTCGGGCCTGCGCAGGACTTCTTGGCCAAGGAGTGGGAAAGAAAGACAAAGGGCACTTACCCCAGGAGATTCTGGAGGAATGGATTGGTAGAAAGCGGTTCTTTGGGTCCTGGTCCATCCGAGCCGTGGAAGGAGGAGGCTCCTCAGACCTTGGGGGGCCCTGAGAAGGGGTCTCCTCACGGGTTTGGGCACCACCTGATTTATTTAATTTCTTTTAGTCAGGAAAGAGGCACTGGAGGCAAGTGGTAGGAAAGAAACAACTTTATTGACCAACGGATCAGGGCTCTTGGGTGAGGTTCACCAGTCCTCTAAGTGGGGACACGGAAGTCCCGCCGGCGCCGGCGAGGTTCCTCGGTCCACAAGCAATAGGGCCACGGAAGTTCGCGCTGGCGCCTGCCGGCGGCGACTTTTATGTCCTGGGCTTGGAAATGGGAGGGCAGTGGGTGGGATAAGGGCGTGCCAGGGGCGTCTCCGTAGTAAGTTTCCGTTTCCTCAAATTGACTTCACGTGGCGCCTGCTCAGTTGGTCTGCTTTGTTCCCCGGGCGCGGGCTGCATTTTCCCACGCGCGGGTAAGTTGGCTGATGAAGAACCCGGAAGTAGTAAGGGTTGGGTCTTTTCTGTTCACCTTCCTCCGTCTTGTCCTTTTCCCCTTCACCCAGACAGTACTAACGCGTGTCAGGTGTAAACCGCAGGTTGAGAGAGAGCTAAGTATTTTCTGTCCATGAAGGTGATAAGCGAGGGCCAGAAGAAAGAGGGAAGGGGGAGGACACTGGCGCCAGAAATGGGAAAGGGCTGCTTGGGGGCGGGAAGGATGGGTGGGAGTGCTACCTAGAAAGCTGCCTGGCAATGGATGTAGGATGTGGAAGCGAGACATCAAACAAGAAGCTGTCACTTGAATAAAGTCTGAAGAAAGACTAGATATGTAAACGGCAGGAGACAGCAGGGAAACTGGACCCGGCTCCTCGTAAAACTTCCTGCCTTACATTTCAGAGAGGATCGCAGCGCATTTCCGCCAAGACCTGTGAGACTGCGGTTCTGACCTGCGGGCCTCAATGAATATGCACTAGGGACCTGGGCGCTGGGAGAGCCGTTCCCCTACACAAAGTACGCATATTAATTATGTATACAACCCAGCGGGGACACTAAGAGCTCCAAAGGCCCTGTTTTCTTCCCAAAGAACAGCGCCCGTCTGCGTAGTTTGTACCTGGTTCTATGAAGTGAGAACGCATTCCCCCCTAGCACAGAAATCCTACAAACTACTGTGGGGGCTGCAGTTCAGCAGAAGCTGTATAAAAGGTGACTGGGGGCTAGGGAACAACACGAAGATTTTTACAGATCGTGAGAACCCAAGACCCTGGAGACCATGAACCAATCTCTGCAAAAGGCAGCCCCGCATAGAAAGGGAAGAGCTGTGCAGCCTTCACGGTGGTTACCTTATATTGCAAGGGCTGACGCTTCTTATTTCTGCTCTGACAGAATCGATATGTTACTTATCATTCTCCAACTTTCCACGGCAAGAATGACATTTACACGCCACACAAAACACAAACTTTAGTACACAACCTATTCTTTTAACTACAAAGTTCAGGGGAAAGCGCGAACGCAGTCCCCCACTACCACAAATTATGCAGTCGAGTTTCCCACATTTGGGGAAATCGCAGGGGTCAGCACATCCGGAGTGCAATGGATAAGCCTCGCCCTGGGAAAACCACCTTCGTGATCATGGTATCTCCCCTGCCAGGTAAGTATGAGTTCCTGCACCTCCGCCCCGCCACAGCCTCATACGTCTCACCCTTTACACACAAGGTCACTTGCCCCGTGCACTCCCGAGCTCTTCTAGTCCTGGCACACACCTGGGACTCTCAGGTCCGACCAGCGGTCCCGAACCCGCTCCCACAGCACGGGAACTCCTTTGTGGGAAGCAGCAGGTAGGGAAGCAGCAGCCCCTGCGCTGCCTCATCTACATAGAAGTCGCCCTATCCGTGATGTCACCGACAGTGCCTTTCCCAGTCCCTGCCTTTCTGCCAGTCAGCAGACCAACCCGCTCCCGAGCCCACAAGGGGGAAGTGACGTTCTGCCTCCCTTTTTTTCCTCCCCCCCCCCGCATCTGTTCTCTCCCAAAAAAGCTGGTCGTTAGCTTGTGTTGAGTAGCAAGCTTTCCGCGGCCAGATGGAGGCTGGGAACCCTTCTTCAAATAATGGCTTTTAATTCGCAGACTAGAACGTTTAGGATTACAAAAGAAACCGGTTCTCTTCACATCCTTATCCTTGGGTTGTAGCATTCCCCTTGAAATTGGAAGCAGTTTAATATCAGAGAGAAACCATATTTATGAAAGTAAAGAGACTGCTCAGATGACTGCAAACCAGCCTTCCTTACTGATTTTATCACTGGTAATGTTATAAAGACAGTTGTCCAGTTTCATGAATCTCGTAGTGTTTTGTTTTGTTTTTTCCAAATTCAGTATTGTAGAAAAACATGCTGCCCCAGAAGAGATGATTGGACACTCTCAAACGTGGTGTTGCACTTTGTCATCTCTTGCACAGCCATCTCCAGACCTTAGTGCTTACTTCATGTTAGTATTTTATATTCTGCAAAGACAAAAACTAAAATAATCCAAATTTGACACAAATACCTGGGATACATCTTATTTGAGATGTTTAACAAATGTCTGGATCATCTTTTCTTATATTGGATTACAACGCAAGAAACACTGTGAAGTAAGCAAAGTTGGCATGCCCAAGTCAAAAACCATTTGAATATTTCCAAGTAGATTTGAGACAGAAATAATACAGAGTGGTCACAGGATAACAAATTCTAGGCAGCAGATTTACCTGACTTAAAGGCTATGGGCTCATAAGACGCTGAAAAACCAGTGTGGACCAAGCTGGGTAAGACTGACTGGACCCAATGTGGTGCTGGATTTAATGTAGATTTTACCTAGGCCCTCACTATATGCTCATTAACATACTAAATCACACACCCACCAGTGCCATGACAGTTCTGAGACCAATGTTTGATGTAAAAATGGATGTCACCACAGTTCTGAGACATCTCCACCTTTACCCAGGAATTGTCATGAATATTCCACTCCACTGTTAAAGTAACCCATCAAGATTAAACCCCAGAACCAATTGTTCTCTCTTGGGTATGCATGAACTCCCCTTTTTTGAGTGTGTACTTTTTGCTTTGCAATAAATCTCTTCTTTCACTGTTTGCGGACTCATCCTTGACTTCATTCTTGAGATGGTATCAAGAGCCTGACAACCACGGCTGGGGTCGAGATCCCCCCAGTGTCTGGGGACCTCCCCCAGCCTACCAGTATCACATTCTATTCCATTGCTCAAATCACAAAATATCGAATGGGGAGTTCTCCTCGGAGACCATCAAGTAAAGATTCATAAAGTAAAGATTCTGTGGCATGGTGGCCAGTCAGGCCACTGGAAGTCATGGAAAAATATTGAAAATGAGGGATTAGGTGACGGT